TATCCAACACTAGAAATATAAATCAACAATAATATCTAAAAAAGGGCTGTTAAAAGAAGAAGAAGCAAAATTTGATTGATAATTTCAAATTAAAGGCTTCTCAGGAGATAGATTTAAGAATGAGTTCTTCGGATTAGAGAGTATAAAGTTAGGCTTAATACTTCTTTTATCAGGTTTGTATTTTTTATGGATATTAAGAAAAAGTGGAAACAAAATTAGTGTTTCCAAAAAGTAAAAGTTCATCAAACATAATAACCCCCTACCTCTGCTTTAAAAAAAAATCTTATAATCTTTGGACCGCAATTCTTTGGGGAACAAGGGAATCTCTAATGAAGGGTCATAAGAAGATTTGAAGATATATAAAAAATCTGTAAAACTCCACAAAACATTAAACATAAACAGGACTAATAATTCCGAAATATTATTGATTGATGTATCATTCCCTATTATAATAAGACATATTAAAATCTCAAAATATTTAACTGAACAATTATTTATTCTTTAAATTAAAGATAAACAAGAAAATCATAGAACTCAAATTATGTAAAATTGAAATATTCATAAAAAATATATTCTTTATGATTAAAAATTACATTAATATGAATTTTGAAATAAATCCTCGATAGCATATTTTACCTCGATTATTATCAATTCCAAATCTACACAAAATTTCAACTTTAATTTTACAAAATTACAAAAGATAATTTTATCAATTTTGCAATATATAACATCATATTAGAGTAATAGATATTCAATAGATATTCAATATTAAAAATAAAAAAGAAAATGCACGGCTCTTTTTAAGTGAAGGAAGCCATAGCTGAAATAATTATTTAAGTTAAGGATGTAGATTAAAAAATTTTTGGTGTCATTTTAGAAATATTCAGAAAGGAGAAAGTTTAAGATTGCATTGGATATCTTTCAGATGATATAAATCATAAATATTTGGAATAATAAATCTTACAACAAGGTGATAATAAAAAGAAATAGAGTGAAATAATAAAGGACCTGAAACAAATAAATGATGTCTTAAAAAAAATAAAAGATCATGACTTCAATAACTAAGACTTTTCTGAAGAATCTAAATTAAGTCTAATTTAAAAGATCAAGGATGATAAATAAAACAAAGAATTTCTGCAATTTTTAGTTCACCTCACATCAATTGATGAAACATTAATATAGGCTGGGTCTAATTCATTACATATATTAGTTTAGATGAAAGTGGACTTTAGAAACAAAAATTTTGAAAATATAAAGATTTAAAATATTTCCTTAGTAGGAGCTACTTTTGTATAATGTAATTTAAGTGGATCAGAATTTAATAATGTTGACATAAATGGTATGAATTTGAATGGAGCCATATTATTAAATTGTAAATGGAACAACTTAAAAATCCATGAATTAAATTAATTAGATTGTCAAACTTATTATGCTAGATCAGTCTGCTTTTCTTCCGATGGAAATACATTAGCATCTGGTAGTGGTAATGGTTTTGGTACTTATGATGACTCTGTCTGTCTATGGGATGTCAAAGCAGGATAATAAAAAGCCAAATTAAAAGGTCACACTAACATCGTTTATTCAGTCTGTTTCTCTCCTGATGGAAGTACATTAGCTTCTGGTAGTTATGATCAGTCTATCCGTCTATGGGATGTCAAAACAGGATAATAAAAAGCCAAATTAGATGGTCATACTAGTGGAATTTAATCAGTCTGTTTCTCTCCTGATGGAAATACATTAGCATCTAGTAGTGAGGATTAGTCAATCCGTCTATGGGATGTTAAGACTAAAAAAAAATAAGCTAAATTATATGGTCATACTAGCACTGTCTATTCAGTTTGTTTTTCTCCTGATGGAAAAACATTAGCATCTGGTGGTGCAGATAAGTTTATCCGTCTTTGGGATGCCAAAACAGGATAATAAAAAGCCAAATTAGAGGGCCTTACTAATTATGTTATGTATGTCAGTTTCTCTCCTGATGGAAATACATTAGCATCTGGTGGTGCAGATAAGTTTATCCTTCTTTGGGATGCCAAAACAGGATAATAAAAAGCAAAATTAGAGGGCCATAGTGATACTGTCTATTCTGTCTGCTTCTCTTATGATGGAAATACATTAGCATCTTGTAGTGCAGATGATGTTATCTGTTTATGGGATGTAAAAACAGGATAATAAAAAAAACAATTAAAAGGTCACACTAACATTGTCTATACAGTATGTTTCTCTACTGATGGAAATACATTAGCATCTGGCAGTGCAGATGATGTTATTTGTTTATGGGATGTCAAAACAGGATAATAAAAAGC